GCAAAAGTTGAAAATAAAATGATGAGCTAAATTAACTAAGAAAGAACAATAATAAAGCAAGCACAATAAAAAGAAAAAGAAAAAAGAGCTTTATTGTTTTAAATTAGTTTTTATAATTTAAAATATCACAATCCAAAACAAATAAACTGTTTTTACGAAAGGTTAAGTGTCAAATTTGAGAGATTAATGCAATTTGCAAAAGCAGAACCTAAGTCTGATGCGCCTTCATCGCCAATTTAATTGTTACTTTTTAAATATTGAAGAAAAAATATATCATTAAATAGTTAATTAGAAGGAAAAAATGAAGAAAAAATATGAAATAATAATGTTAATTAATTAATAATAAAAGCAAAAGTTGAAAATAAAATGATGAGCTAAATTAACATAGAAAGAACAAAAAAAAAAGCAATAACAATAAGAAGAAAAAGAAAAAAGAGCTTTGTTGTATTAAATTAGTTTTTTATTATTAAAAACATCACAATCTAAAACAAATAAACTGTTTTTACTTAAGGTTAAGTGTCAAATTTGAGAGATTAATACAATTTGCTAAACCAGAACATAAGTCTGATGTACCTTTGCCACCAATTTAATTTTTACTTTTTATATATCGAAGAAAAAATATTATCATTAAATAGTTAATTAGAAGGAAATAATGAAGAAAAAATATGAAACAATATGATTAATTAATAATAAATGAAAAAGTTAAAAATAAAATGATGAGCTAAATTAACATAGAAAGAACAAAAAAAAGCAAGCACAATAAAAAGAAAAAGAAAAAAGAGCTTTATTGTTTTTATTTAGTTTTTCTAATTAAAAACATCACGATCCAAAACAAATAAACTGTTTTTACCTAAGGTTAAGTGTCAAATTAGAGAGTTTAATACAATTTGCTAAACCAGAACATAAGTCTGATGTACCTTTGCATCCAATTTAATTGGAACTTTTTAAATATTGAAGAAAAAATATTATCATTAAATAGTTAATTAGAATTGTTTTAAATTAGTTTTTATAATTAAAAAGCATCACAATCCAAAACAAATAAACTGTTTTTACTCAAGGTTAAGTGTCAAATTTTAAAGATTAATGCACTTTGTTAAACCAGAACCTAAGCCAGATGCACCTTTGTCACCATATTTATTCAAACGTTTTAAATATTGAAGAAAAATATGAAATAATATGATGAATTAATTAATAATAAAAGTAAAAGTTGAAAATAAAATGATGAGCTAAATTAAAAAAGAAAGAACAAAAATAAAGCAAGCACAATAAAAAGATAAAGAAAAAAGAGCTTAATTGTTTTTAATTAGTTTTTATAATTAAAAATATCACAATCCAAAACAAATAAACTATTTTTACACAAGGTTAAGTGTCAAATTTGAAAGATTAATGCACTTTGATAAATCAGAAACTAAGCCTGATGCACCTTCATCGCCAATTTAATTGTTACTTTTTAAATATTGAAGAAAAAATATATCATTAATTAGTTAATTAGAAGGAAAAAATGAAGTAAATATATGAAATAATTAGATTAATTAATAATAAAAGAAAGAGTAGAAAATAAAATGATGAGTTAAATTAAGAATGAAAAAACAACAAAAAGCAATCGCAATAAAAAGAAAAAGAAAAAAGAGCTTTATTGTTTTAAATTAGTTTTTATAATTAAAAACATCACAATCTAAAACAAATAAACTGTTTTTACTAAAGAACAAGTGTTAAATTTGAGAGATTAATGCACTTTGCTAAACCAAAACCTAAGCCTGATGCACCCATTTTACCAATATAATTCTGACTTTTTAAATATTGAAGAAAAAATATTATCATTAAATAGTTAATTAGAAGGAAAAATGAAGAAAAAATATGAAATGATAAGATAAATTAATTAATAACAAAAGCAAAAGTTGAAAATAAAATAATGAGTTAAATCAACAAAGAAAGAACAAAAAAAAGCAATCAATCACAATAAAAAGAAAAAGAAAAAAGTTCTTTATTGTTTTTAATTAGTTTTTATAATTAAAAAAGATCACAATCCAAAACAAATAAACTGTTTTTACTCAAGGTTAAGTGTCAAATTTGAAAGATTAATGCACTTTGCTAAACCAGAACTTAAGCCAGATGCACCTTTGTCACCAATTTAATTGTTACTTTTTAAATATTGAAGAAAAAATATTTCATGAAATAATTAATTAGAAGGAAAAAATGAAAGAAAAATATGAAATAATAATATTAATTAATTAATAACAAAAGAAAAAGTCGAAAATAAAATGATGATTTAAATTAACAATTAAAAAACAACAAAAAGCAAGCACAATAAAAAGAAAAAGAAAAAAGAGCTTTATTGTTTTAAGTTAATTTTTATAATTAAAAAACATCACAATCCAAAACAAATAAACTGTTTTTACGTAAGATCAAGTGTCAAATTTGCAAGATTAATGCAATTTGCTAAACCAGAACCTAAGTCTGATGCACCTTCATCACCAATTTTATTCCCACTTTTTAAATATTGAAGAAACAATGTGTCATTAAATAGTTAATTAGAAGGAAAAAATACGAAATAATAAGATTAATTAATTAATAATAAAAGAAAAAGTTGAAAATAAAATGGTGAGTTAAATTAAAAATGAAAAAACAACAAAAAGCAACACAATAAAAAGAAAAAGAAAAAAGAGCTTTATTGTTTTAAATTAGTTTTTATAATTAAAAACATCACAATCTAAAACAAATAAACTGTTTTTACTAAAGAATAAGTGCCAAATTTGAGAGATTAATGCACTTTGCTAAACCAGAACCTAAGCCTGATGCACCCATTTTACCAATATAATTCTTACTTTTTAAATCGAAGAAAAAATATTATCATTAAATAGTTAATTAGAAGGAAAAAATGAAGAAAAAATATGAAATAATAACATTAATTAATTAATAACAAAAGCAAAAGTTGAAAATAAAATGATTAGTTAAATTAAAAAAGAATGAACAAAAAAAGCAAGCACAATAAAAAGAAAAAACAAAAGAGCTTTATTGTTTTAAATTAGTTTTTATAATTAAAAAACAAAACAATCCAAAACAAAACAAATAAACTGTTTTTACCCAAGGTTAAGTGTCAAATTTGAAAGATTAATGCACTTTGCTAAACTAGAACCTAAGCCTGATGCACCCTTTGCACAAATTTTATTCCATCTTTTTTAATATTGAAGAAAAAAATATATCATTAAATAGTTATTAGAAGGAAAAAATGAAGAAAAAATATGAAAAAATAAGAAAAATTAATTAATTATAAAAGAAAAAGTTCAAAATAAAATGATGATTTAAATTAACAATGAAAAAACAAAAAAAAGCAAGCAAAAGAAAAAGAAAAAAGAGCTTTATTGTTTTAAATTAGTTTTTATTATTAAAATATCATAATCCAAAACAAATAAACTGTTTTTACTGAAGGTTAAGTGTCAAATTTGAAAGATTAATGCACTTTGCTAAACCAGAACCTAAGCCTGATGCATCCATTTTACCAATTTATTTCTTACTTTTTAAATATTGAAGAAAAAATATTATCATTAAATAGTTAATTAGAAGGAAAGAACAAAAAAAGCAAGTATAATAAAAAGAAAAAGGAAAAAGATCTTTATTGTTTTTAATTAGTTTTTATAATTAAAAAACATCACAATCCAAAAGAAATAAACTGTTTTTACCTAAGATCAAGTGTTAAATTTGAGAGATTAATACAATTTGCTAAACCAGAACCTAAGCCTGATGCACCTTCATCACCAATTTAATTGTTACTTTTTAAATATTGAAGAAAAAATATATTATTAAATAGAGTAAGTTGTCATACAAATTTAGAAAAAGCGAGTTTTATATACAGTGTTTTTAAATTTTATAAAATTAAAATTTTAAACACATATATTTTAGTTTTTTTAATGAAATTTTCGAAAATTTTTTTTTTCGGTATACAGTTTTAGTTTTTCAAAATATTATTTATACGGTATATGGTATTGTCTGAAAAAGTGATATAGGGTCTATCCCTAATTAAAAATATTACAATCCAAAACTAATAAACTTATTTTATTAAGGGTAAGTTTTAATAGCAAAAAATGAAGAAAAAATAAATATCAAATAATAAAAAATGAATGATAAATAAATAAATAATTACAAACTGTATTGAAAATTAAGTTAAAATAGCTAATAAATTTTTGTTTTAAAAAAAATCAATGAATGAATGAATAATGATGATAATTTCTTTTACAAAAATTATTTATTTTAATTAATAGAAAGTTAAATATATAAAAAATATTAATAATAATAAAAGTAATATTTATAAATTAAATATACAGGAGATCAATATGGAGAACCTAATGAGATGAAAGTGAAGAGCTTAAAAACTATTTTTATTAATTTATATAAATCTAAAGGATATTAATAAAAAAATTAATAATTACTTCTGTTAATTTGTTATATGTTTTAATCTATTATATCATTTCTTTATTTTTTTTCAAAAATATTGAAAGCAATTTATGAAATTTAATTAATTATAAATGGATAAAAAGAACAAATAAAATATAATAATTAATTAATTATCAAATATTAATTTATAAATTTGGTTTTATGAAGAGATATCACATAAAAATTAATTTAACATTCATTATTTAATCTTAATATTTTTATTTAAAATATATACTTAAAAATATATTTAGTAGGAATTAGAGATGCGTAGTTAGCCATATTTGAAAAAAATTCTAATAATTAATTAATTCATGTATTTTATAAAAATAATGTTTATATGTAGATTTTTCTCTTTTAACTCTGTAATTATAAATAGGAATATTTATAATATCTCTAACTATTCTCTAATCACATTAGTTTTTATTTTTTGCATGCACATTTTATTTAGGCAGAAAGATTGCATCCACCAAATAAGAGCATTTAATACCAACTTAAATAACTTTTTAATGAATAGAGTTACTCTAAATAATATTTTTATTTTAAAAATTGAGGGCTTAATTAATTTTGAAGCATTTTAGTGCTATGTATTATTTATTACATTTCCATTTATTAAAATTTCGCTTTTCTTTCATTTAAAATGACTAAATTTGAATTAATTTTAATCCATTTAAAGCTAATTTTCAAGCAGCATTTCATTATTAATATCTCATAATTTATACATCAGACAGAATCTATAAATTTTTTTATAATATATATTTTAGACACATTAATTTCAAAAAACTAAAAGGATTTAAATTCATAATTTATATTTTAAATTTAAAATACATTTTTTATTTTATAATATAATATATAGCAAGATGTCATTCAAAAATTCCATTGTTTAGATGTGACTTATAATGAAATAAATTTTTTAATTATCACACAAGTTAAAATAAAAAGTAAAATTTGATTTCTACCTGAGGTTTTATTTAAATCATGGTATCTAATTATTCACAATAAATAAAAAAAGGATAGAAATATGATTAATGGTTAATATTTAAGATTAAAATATAACTGGCATATAAAAGCTTGGCATTTATATAATTTAATAAGATATAATATAACATTAATTGCTTCAAATTATTAGATCGTTTTTGGAAAAACTGGAGGGTTTCCTTAAGAAGAATTAATTTATTTAAATAAATTTAATTTTATATTTTTAATAAATAATTTATTTACTTACAAAAGTATGAATGATATTTATTTATAATAACAATAATAAAATCTAATTATCTATTTATATTTTAGGTTAAAAAAATATTTCAAAATATTAAATAATAAAATATATAATTAATATTCAATAATTCAAACATTTTTTATTTATTCATCTTTTTTTCATCAGTAGTCGTATATGAATTTTTTCTTATAGACAACTAATCTTTTTGATTTAAGACACTTGCTTATTAGTTTGAGTTCTTATGATTCATCCAAAGAGTCAGATATTCTATAATAAATTTGTGTAAAATTTTAATAAATATGAAATAGAATAACCTTTTAAATTAAACATTATATGTTAAATTAATAAATGAAATAAAATTAGTGGAATAAAAAGATAAAAAAATAAATCAAATAAAAGCTATCAAATAAATTCAAAGAACTTTTTTTTTAATACTCATTTTTATAATTTAAAATATCACAATCCAAAACAACTAAACTGTTTTTACATAAAGATAAGTTTCAAATTTGAGAGGTTAATGCATTATGCTAAACCAGAACCTAAGCCTGATGCAAATTTGCCACCAAAATCATTCAAACTTTTTGAATATTCATGAAAAAATAAATTATTAAATAATTAGTGAAAAGGAAAAAATATGAAATAATAAGATTAATTAATTCATAACAAAAGCAAAAGTTGAAAATAAAATTATGAGTTAAATTAACAAAGAAAGAACATAAAAAGCAAGCCGAATAAAAAGAAAAAGAAAAAATAGATTTCTTTATTGTTTTTAATTCGTTTTTTAATTAAAAAAATCACAATCCAAAACAAATAAACTGTTTGTACCTAAGATAAAGTGTCAAATTTGAGAGATTAATGCACTTTGCTAAACCAGAACCTAAGCCTGATGCACCCATTTCACCAATATTACTCCAATTTTTTGAATATTCAAGAAAAAATAAATTATTAAAAAATTAGTGAAAAGGAAAAAATGAAGAAAAAATATGAAATAATAACAAAAGTAAAAGTTGAAAATAAAATTATGAGTTAAATTAACAAAGAAAGAACAAAAAAAATCAAACACAATAAAAAGAAAAAAGAGCTTTATTGTTTTTAATTAGTTTTTATAATTAAAAACATCACAATCCAAAACAAATAAACTATTTTTACGCAAGTTCAAGTGTTAAATTTGAGAGATTAATGCACTTTGCTAAACCAGAACCTAGGCCTGATGCACCTTTGTCACCAATTTAATTCCAACTTTTTGAATATTCAAGAAAAAATAAATTATTAAATAATTAGTGAAAAGGAAAAAATGAAGAAAAAATATGAAATAATAAGATTAATTAATTAATTAATAACAAAAGCAAAAGTTGAAAATAAAATTATGAGTTAAATTAACAAAGAAAGAACAAAAAAAATCAAACACAATAAAAAGAAAAAAGAGCTTTCTTTATTATTTTTAATTAGTTTTTATAATTAAAAACATCACAATCCAAAACAAATAAACTATTTTTACGCAAGTTAAAGTGTTAAATTTGAGATATTAATACACTTTGCTAAATCAGAACCTAAGACTGATGCACCTTTGTCACCGATTTTATTACTTCTTTTTAAATATTGAAGAAAAAATATATCATTAAATAGTTAATTAGAAGGAAATAATGAAGAAAAAATATGAAATAATAAGATTAATTAATTAATTAATAATAAAAGAAAAAGTTGAAAATAAAATTATGAGTTAAATTAACAAAGAAAGAACAAAAAAGCAAGCACAATAAAAAGAAAAAGAAAAAAGAGCTTTAATGTTTTAAATTAGTTTTTATAATTAAAAATATCACAATAAAAAACAAATAAACTTTTTTTACGAAAGGTTAAGTGTCAAATTTGAAAGATTAATACACTTTGCTAAAGCAGGACCTAAGTCTGATGCACCTTCATCACCAATTTTATTCCTTCTTTTTAAATATTGAAGAAAAAATATATCATTAAATAGTTAACTAGAAGGAAAAAATGATGAAAAAATATGAAATAATAAGATTAATTAATTAATAATAAAAACAAAAGTTGAAAATAAAATTATGAGTTAAATTAACAAAGAAAGAACAAAAAAGCAAGCACAATAAAAAGAAAAAGAAAAAAGAGCTTTAATGTTTTAAATTAGTTTTTATAATTAAAAATATCATAATCCAAAACAAATAAACTGTTTTTACTGAAGGTAAAGTGTCAAATTTGAAAGATTAATGCAATTTGCTAAACCAGAACCTAGGCCTGATGCACCTTTGTCACCAATTTCATTGCATCTTTTTAAATATTGAAGAAAAAATATATCATTAAATAGTTAATTAGAAGGAAATAATGAAGAAAAAATATGAAATAATAAGAAATAAATAATAAAAGCTAAAGTTGAAAATAAAATTATGAGATAAATTAACAAAGAAAGAACAAAAAAAGCAAGCACAATAAAAAGAAAAAGAAAAAAGAGTTTTAATGTTTTAAATTAGTTTTTATAATTAAAAACATCACAATCCAAAACAAATAAAGTGTTTTTACTAGAGTTAAAGTGTCAAATTTGAAAGATTAATGCACTTTGCTAAACCAGAACCTAAGTCTGATGCACCTTTGTCACCAATTTAAAAGAAGGGCTAAGCGGCTCGAGTGGGCGAGTCGGAGGGTCTTAGCAGTGATATCGGGGGTTCGAATCCTATACCGCCCCCTTTATTTCGAAAAATTCCATGTAAAAATGTGAATGTTACCAGCGGTCTCCTTGGTAGGAGGGAAGGGCCAAATCTGATAGGTGGTAAAGAGGAGGCCCCATTCTGAACAGAAGATCTGGAATACAAATGGGAAGCGAGCATAATGCGTAGTCAAATCATGGAAGATTAGTAGAAATGCCATTAGGGTGTAGGTGACCCTTCCCTTCTAGTATATTACCCACAATTATATATAAATAAATTGGTATACGTATAATAATAATGTATAAGTAATTATATATAGGGCCCCTATCCCGAGTGCATGTCACCATGTGCGAGTATGTATGTATGTATGTATGTATGTATGTATGTATGTATGTATGTATGTATGTATGTATGTATGTATGTATGTATGTATGTATGTCACCAATTTAATTTCCACTTTTTAAATATTAAAGAAAAAATATGTCATTAAATAGTTAATTAGAAGGAAAAAATGAAGAAAAAATATGAAATAATAAGATTAATTAATTAATAAAAAAAGCAAAAGTTGAAAATAAAATGATGAGATAAATTAAAAACGAAAGAACAAAAAAAAGCAAGCACAATAAAAAGAAAAAGAAAAAAGAGCTTTATTGTTTTTATTTAGTTTTTCTAATTAAAAATATTACCCAAAGTAAAGTGTCAAATTTGAAAGATTAATGCACTTTGCTAAACCAGAACCTAAGCCTGATGCACCTTTGTCACAAATTTAATTTTTACTTTTTAAATATTAAAGAAAAAATATGTCATTAAATAGTTAATTAGGAGGAAAAAATGAAGAAAAAATATGAAATAATAAGATTAATTAATTAATTAATAATAAAAGCAAAAGTTGAAAATAAAATGATGAATTAAATTAACAATGAAAAAACAACAAAAAGCAAACAAAAAAAAAGAAAAAAGAGCTTTATTGTTTTAAATTAGTTTTTATAATTTAAAACATCACAATCTAAAACAAATAAACTATCAATGAATGATTAATGATGATAATTTCATTAATAAAAACTATTTATTTAAATAAATAGAAAGTTAAATATATAAAAATTATTAATAATAATAAAAGTAATATTTTTTAATTAAATATACCTCAAATTAATATGGAGAACTTAATGAGATGAAAGTGAAGAGCTTAAAAACTATTTTTATTAATTTATATAAATCTAAAGGATATTAATAAAAAAATTAATAATTACTTCTTCTAAATTATAATATTTTTTAATCTATTATATCATTTTTTTTTTCTTTCAAAAATATTGAATCGCAATTTATGGAATTTAATTAAGTAATTAATTATTAATGGATAAAAAGAACAAATAAAATATAACAATTAATTAATTATCAAATATAAATTTATTTATTTATTTGGTTTTATGAAGAGATATCACATAAAAATTAATTTAACATTCATTATTTAATCTTAATATTTGTATTTAAAATATATACTTAAAAATATATTTAGTAGGAATTAGAGATGCGTAGTTAGCCATATTTGAATAAATTCTAATAATTAATTAATTAATTAATTAATTCATGTTCTTAAATTTTATAAAAATAATGTTTATAAGTAGATTTTTCTCTTTTAGCTTTGTAATTAATTATAGGAATATTTATAATATCTCTAATTATTCTCTAATCACATTGGTTTTTTTTTATTGCAAGCACATTTTATTTAGGTAGAAAGATTGTATCCACCAAATAAGTGTATTTAATACCAACTTAAATAACTTTTCAATAAATAGAGTTACTCTAAATAATATTTTTCTTTTAAAAATTGAGGGCCTAATTAATTTTGAAGCATTAAAGTGCATATATATTATTTTTTACATTTAAATTTATTAAAATTTCGCTATTCTTGCATTTAAAAAGACTAAATTTGAATTTTTTATAGCTAATTTTCAAGCAGTATTTCATTATTAAATATCTCATAACATAATGTATAAATCAGACAGAATCAATAAACTTTTTGTAAATATATATTTTAGACACATTAATTATATAAAACTAAAAGGATTTTTTTCATATATTATATTTTAAATTTATAATATATTTTTTATTTTATAATATAATAAATATACTTAGTTATTTTAAAAGAAAATATATATTATTTAATGAACAATAATTTCCAAATTCTTTTACTTGTTTTTACTACGCATTATTGAAAACATTAATAATTTTTACTTAAAATTTTATAAATTCTATTATATAATTATTCAAAATAAATATTTTTTATTTAAAAACCTAGCCTAATTAATTAATATCTAGATAGAGGTAGGTTGCCATACATACTACTAGATTTTAATTAGGCGTTTAGCTATAATAGAAATCATTAACTAATTTACCTTAATCATTGATAAAAAACAAACAACAAATTAAAATTTATATTACTAAAAAGAGATAAATTAAATTTTATTTTGTTGAAGCTTTTCATAATGATTTTACAAATTTCGCATCTAATTAATTATGAGTTAAAACAATAAATGAAATTAAAAGATTTAATTTACTTATAATATGATCAAAAATATTATTCCAACAAATAAAATAAATAAACAACATTTTGATAAGAGTTATAGTGCAGAAATTAATTAAAATAGTAGATATAGACCCTCTTACAGTAATACACAATTTTCGAAATTAAGTGATTTATTTATTTATTAATAGAGGTTAAAAGTAGTTTTAAATCTTTTTAATAAAAATTTTTTTACTTTGTCAAGTAATTCGATACCTTTTTTTTATTTTTGTTAAATTCTTCTAAAATATATTTAGACTTACTATTTTTTATTGAATAAACTTTATCTATTTATTAGTTTTATTAGCTGAAACTAAATAAATAAATAACTAATCAATTAATTTCAAAGAATAAATGTTAAGAGTTAAATTTTGCAACTATTTATCTTATAACTTCAAATTGGATTGCAAATATACATACTTTGAATGCAAATTTTTAATCTCAAAAAATAGGAATATCTGGATTTTTTAAGCTGTTTATTCTATATTTATTTACATATTTTCAATATGAAATTATTCTCTTATTTCAAAAAAAAAATGGAATTTAAATTTAAATCAATATTTCAATGAAATTAAAAACAATTAAATATAATTGTATACTAAGTTAAGTTATCTATCTATATAGCTAATATTTAAAAATAAAAACTTAATAATTGATTTTGTTTTATGTTTAAAAAAAAAAAAATTAAAAGTTGAAGCTACAATGAATATAGAAAACATAAAAATATATTTCACAAATTCATATTATTTTTAATATTTGTTAATAATAATTCAAGATATTATTTTATTATAATAAACAAGCAAACAAACAAACAAAAAAGTGCTATTCTGATTTCGTAAATTGTGTTGCCTGAATCTAACAAACAAATAGTATGTGGCTCATTCCTTTTTAAAAGCAAAAAATGATATTTATATTTGATTACTTGTTGAAATTAAGTTTTTTAATTAAGTAAAAATTATAAATTTATTTGTAGGAATATTAATTAATTAATTACCTTCTAATATTTTTATAAACATTTGTTAAATCTTGCTTTTTTTTAATAAAAACTTTAAAAGTTTTATACCCTATTTATTTTATCAAAGGTTTACTAAGAAAACTTACTTTTCTTATAAATAATTTTACTTTCTTTATAATAAATAATTAATTAGTAGATGTTCGTATGCTAATTTCTTAATAGGATTAATTAATTATTACCAGCTGTTTTAATTAAAACATTTCTTGATTGTAATTCATCCAAAATTATTTAAAATATTACAATCTATTATTATTATTTTTTATTTTTTTATATTCTTTTTAAATCACTCAAATATTTTACAATCTAGTTTAGAATTAATATAGTTAGTTAGCTACATTTTTTCAATTTCTTTCATAAATCTTACTCGCTGTTTTCATATTAAAATTAACAATTATTCTACATTATATAGTAATTTTCAAAAATATTACTATCTATTTCATCATACATTTTTATAAGATTCTCTCACTATCAAAATTATTCTTCTATAATATTACTCGCTGTATATTTAAAATTAAACTTATTTTCCATCTGTCTTATTTATCTTCTACTTATAATTACCATCTATTTTTCAATAGTTCATTTAATTTTCTAATATATTTACTATGAAATCTTTATTAAATTTTACTCGCTATTTTATATTTAGATTTTGTTTTTATATCAAAAGGCATTCTAAAATTTTAATTACTATCTATTTTGAATATGAAAGTTAGATAATTCAGCATTTATTTTCTCATCAAAAATCATTCTAAAATATTAATTACAAGCTATTTTGAATTTGAAAGTAAATTCAGCGTTTATTTTCTCATCAAAAATCATTCTAAAATATTAATTACGAGCTATTTTGAATATGAAAATTAGTTAATTCAGCATTTCTTTTCTCATCAAAAATCATTCTAAAATATTAATTACTTGCTATTTTGAATTTAAAAGTTAGTTAATTCAACATTAAATTTCTCATCTAAAATATTAATTACGATCTATTTTGAATATGAAAGTTAGTTAATTCAGCATTTATTTTCTCATCAAAAATCATTCTAAAATATTAATTACCCACTATTTTAAATATGAAAGTTAGTTAATTCAGCATTTATTTTCTCATCAAAAATCATTCTAAAATATTAATTACAAGCTATTTTGAATATGAAGTTAGTTAATTCAGCATTTATTTTCTCATCAAAAATCATTCTAAATTATTAGTTACTTGCTATTTTGAATATGAAGATTAGTTAATTAAAATTTATTTTCTCATCAAAAATAATTCTAAAATATTAATTACAAGCTATTTTGAATATGAAAGTCAATTCAGCATTTATTTTCTCTTCAAAAACAATTCTAAAGTAATAATTACTATCTATTTTATATAAAAAGTTGATTGAATATCTGATATTTATAAAAATTTTAGAAAAATGACTTTCTATTAAGGATGTAAAAATTTCGAAGTAGGTCTACTATAAGATGATAAAATTACCCGCTTATTTATTTAATAAATTAAAATATATTTAATCTTTTAAGATAGAAATATAAAGGTTTACAGGCTATTATAAATATGAAATATGTTTGATATTCTAATAAATAAAGTAAGGAAGGAATATTAATTACTAGCTGTTTTGGTTAATAAAAATATTGAGATGTTTTGAATAAATTATTTTTATGAAAATTACGCTCTGTTTAAATTTAAAAGTTAATTTATGGTTTGCAAAGTTAGAACAACAAATGATTGTTTGCTTGTTACTTGCTTTTTTAAATAAAAAAGGAAAATAAATAAATATCTCTTGATATTAATTATCTAGTAAAAAATTACCCACTATTTTAAGTTTTAATTTGTATTTTTGAATTAGAAATCAATCAATTAAATTAAATTATT